GTCACTAACTCAAAATAACCAATAAGTTCAGAATAACATTTACTAACATTTACATAATACTTATGTGCCAGACACTACATACATTTAAATGCATGACTTTTTTAATATTCTCAAGGTACTATTACCACCCCGGGCTAAATAACTTGCTTATGTAGCTAATACTAAGTAGTGTACTCAGGATTCAAACCCAGGCAGTCTGTTTGGGAAACTGTACATTTAACCACTAATGTATCACATCTCTAAGAGGGATAATTCAGTCAGGGTCTGCAATGCTTTTAAAAGCCATTGTTTTCAAGCAGTCACAATTGCCAAACAGGAAAACTTTTTTACTCATTATGAAGTGAATGTGTGAGTTTAAGCAACTACAAAGGAAACTGAGTATAATAAATATGTCAAAAATTTTACACAATATAAATGTTAGAGCAGAGATGGTGGCACTTAAATAACTTTAGCTGTAATTTCACCCTGAGATTACTCTCAGTCCAAACACACACATAAAAAAGCCAATAGTAATTTTAACACTCAAGGTCATATCATTTAAATTATGTATATATAACAAAAAACTTCAGTAGCATTCCCCATAAATTATGCCCAAAGTTAATTGTCTCATTAACCTTGTTCCAAAACATTAAAGATGATTTATTATAAGATAATTAACTGATCAAATCATTTAACCAATTTTATTATTGGTTAATAAAATTCACATAAATTTCTATGGAAGAAAGTTAATCTTTATTGGAGGAAATTTGACATAATTTGTTTTTAACATCTCCAAAAAAAAAAGAAGCATAGAGGCTTAACTGCATGATCCTAGGCTGATGTCAGTCAAAAGAAAACATGACTCAATAGATGTACATCTACTTTCCTTTGAAGGCACTTTTGAAAGGAGCAATAGGAGGGAGAGCAATGTACATCTTCTCCAGAAGTGAATTTCAAAGGCCTTATTTGGTGCTTCGTCCACGTGGGAAAAATTAGAAAACTTTTTGCCTTTTATTTTCCATTGTGAGATCCTAAATGGGCCAATAAGTCCAGGATATGTAGGTCCCCATGTGGTATCAGATGCAGTAGCAGCTATAGTGTAAGGAATATAGGACACAATGATCTATGTAGCTGACTTTTGTGAACTCTGGTGGTGGCAGAAGTGACAAAAAGAAAGGAAGAAAAAAAACCTTTAGCAGCACTTCAACTAGATCTCAAAATCACTCAACTGGGTCTGCTGCATTAATGAGATCACAATACAGAACTGCTGATTTCGAATTACTTTGGTGAAGAAGGTTTATTATTATAAACTAAAAAGCCATAGTTTATTAAAAATAATTGGATGTGACAATAAATGGTATTTTTTCTATGTCTCAGCACTCTGGATTAAAAGAGGCTTAAATTAAACAGTGAATCCCCTGCCCTTGCCAGGTGGCTCAATTGGTGCATCATCCCATGCATCAAAAAGGTTTCAGGTTCAAGTTCAATTCCTGATCAGGGCACACACCTAAGTTGCAGGTTTGGTCCCTGGTCAGAGGTACTGGAAATGATCAATGTTTCTCTCTCACATTGATGTTTCTCTCCCTCCTCATATCAATAAATATATCTTCAATAAGGATTTCTTTAAAAAGGGAATCTCCTGAATTTAATTAAATGGCTTTTTAAAATGATTTTAAAGACATTTAAATAATGTAGGAAAAAATCTATTTTGCTAACATGTCCTAAAATCCGAGTTCAACTTATTTTAAAATTATGACAACTCTAATGTAAAAGTAGACAAACAAGTAAATAAACTTTGAGTAAACAGGCCCTAGCCAGGTAGCTCAGTTGGTTAGAGCATTATCCCAACAAGCCAAGGTTTTGGGTTCAATTCCCAATCAGGGCACATACAAGAATTAACTAATGAATGCATAAATAAGTGGAACAACAAATCAATGCCTCTCTCTCTTTCTCTCTCTTTCTGTCAAATCAATAAATTTTTTTAAATTGATTTAAAAATGCAATTATATCTGGTACACATTTTATCAATATCCTTGTTACTGAAATGTCTGCTTTTCTTTGCAAAATCTGCCTTAATTTGATTTTGTATGTAGTTTCTATGTAACAATATTTGAATATTCAAAAATCAATTATCTCATTAATATTTAAAAAATACAATTGCTAAACAAACCATGTTTAAGTTTTCCAACTATACTAGTTTATTGTCTCTCTAGAAATAAATCTACCAAGCCAAAAGTTTATACATATTTTTTCAGCAAGTGAAATCTGTAGTGAAACCCAAGACACCGGGGCACTGTATCTAAAATGCTGAAAATTTCACTTTGCTTACAATGGTAAATAAACTAAACATTTGTTATTTGACAAGGGAAAGAATGACTTCAACAACAATTAGTATATATAAATCATCTTATTTAGAAGAATATAAAAGAGAATTATATTTTCCATAAAAGCTAAAAGACCGATCTCTCTCTCCCTCTTTCTTTTTCATTGGTCAATAGTGACTCAGGAGGTGAATCAGGCTCCTGCGGGGGCTCTGTGAACATCATTACCAATGTCAATCATCAGCAACCCAACGAAGCCTGTAACTACAGGTTAATACAGAATGAAAATATCATTTCCCCTAAAATATTATTTCATATGCATATATTCCAAGGAGTTCTAAAAGCAATGATCTTCCAGATAAAATACAATATAGAAGTTGAGTGATCAGAGGCTACCTTGGATAGAATTATGGCAAGATTTAAATAACTAACTTAGGTCCCCCTCTTACATAGGAATCCATGGAATATGGTCACTTTGGCCTCTTCATAAACACCCACAACTATGGGAGTCTTATGAAGTCATAATATAGCCCATAGATTTTTGAAAAGCTGTGATAAACCTCATCTTCTTTATGAACAAAAAGATGCTTCATCCTTTAAAAATTCCTATAGAATCATCTTCGTTTTGTCCTATAGAGTATCACAGTATAGTCAGAGTTCCTTTTCTTCTTACTTGATAGCTTTTCAATATTTAATGATAGCTTTCATACCCTCACTTTTACAAGTTAAGTCTTTCCACTGGATTTTATAGAAGTTATCTACAATATCCAATAATCTCCCTTTATTTTCTGGACACATTCTTGCTGCTAGAGTTATATTTAGCCAAGCTTCATTTCAAAAGGTAGTGCTCAGAATAAATACAACATTAAAATGTGGTCATTACTGCAAACTATAATAGGACAATCACCTCCCTCATTAGGATACCATAATTAGTCAAATTTAACAATGAGTTAACTTTGTAGCCTCTTCCTACTACAAATATCAAGACCAACAAAACCATGGTCTGTAATTGTGTAATGCATTTCTTGAACTCAAACCAGAACTTTATAAGATAGTATTATGACATCAAATATGTTAACATGCCTCCCTATATTTGACCCTCGGGTATGACATCTTGAAAAATACTTAACTACTCTACTTGTCTTCCTACCTACTCATACTCTTCAGTTTCACACACTATTGAGCAATGTCGACCTTCAAGTCGCTGTTTATGTTAGCTTTTAAGTCATCACTCATTAATACTCAAGAATCTCCAACGAAAACACTTTCTTGTATGACAATTAAGAAATTTTGCCTGAGACATCGTTTTCACTTGTTTACTTTCAAAACTGGTTTTATACAGAACGTCTTCCTAGGAGTGTTGCTTGAAGTAGGATTAAGTGGTTGTTCAAAATATAGACAATGATATGCTCAATTCCATTTTTGCAGCAAGGCAAACAATGCAACACCTCCAGCAAACCTTTACCTTGATAAGAATATGCACATATACACACACCACACATGAAATATTCATGTGAGTTATGAAACTATGCTTTCGCATGTGGAAAACAAACGTACGTTACTTTATTCTAGTTACAGTTGTCCCCTTTACAAGAAACTTTTATCTCACTCTTCCCTCTTCCAAGACCATAATTTTCTTTCAAGCAAAGATAAAATTAGTGCAAGTTCTGCAAGATCCCAGTCTCCCTAAGTCCCCATCAGAGATTTCAATTAAAGTGAAGTTCATCAGTATGGCAAGCCCGAGCTTCCAGCGAACTCCTCCTCAGAAATTTGACCCGCTTCCCCCAATCCGAAGCCGGAGGACAGTCCGACCACAGAGTACTTCCACTCAAAGAGGGCAAATCCCTGGGTAGAGTACATTCGGGTAACCGTTTCTTTCTTAACGCTGAAGCATTAGAACCCCTTCTCAGTGCCGCGCCTTCTTTGAGTCTGCTTTTGCGGGCCAGCTCCGGGTGAGCGCCCGGGTTAGTCAGTGCGCACGTGACGCGCGGTGCCCACATGACACGACCATAGGCGGGGGAGGGGGACAGAGGAGTGAAGCAGGGAAAAAGTTAAGGAAGATCGGTCAAAGCGCCCAAAGCAATCGGTCCCTTCCCTTCTTCGTCAAGTAGTGGCTCAGAGATTCCTAGGGGACGGCTGAGGAGCAAGGCTTTCACGGTCCAGCTTCCCAAGCAGGGTGGGGTGGGGGGAGGGCGTAGTTCTCCTCTTCTCCCCGCCACCTTCTGCTGCTTTCCGCCCTGCTGGGGATGCCGCTGCATCCTCCAGTTGCCCCTTCCTTCCTCTTCTCCCTCCCTCTTTTTTTCCTACTTTCCTTCTTTCTTTCCTTCCTTTCTTCCTCCTACCTTTCCTCCCTCCCTTCCCTGAAAGCTCTTTATCCACTGCGGGCGATGCCACTGACGCACATTCAATTTGCCCGGGAGCTTGCCCGTACCTCTAAGGTCAGACAAGGCCGAACACTTTCCACAGGGGAAGGTATAACTGCGCAAACAAAGTTGTACGCCACACCGAAACCTGCCCTCCCTTCATTGAGCCCCCAAATTCGCATCCTCCGCAGAGCTCACTTGCTCCGTCGCTACTCTCTCGACCTCACCCCACCACCGTGCAACACACCCCCTTTCACAGTGAGCCCACCCTTCCACTGCCCCGCGCTTGGAGCGGTCCAACCGCCTGGCAAAGCCCCGAGCAAGCCGCTGCGCTCACCTTGCTTGACACACTTGAGCCGGAGGGGGTCCTTGCAGTGTTTGATCACGGCCAGCACGTCCCTGATGGTGAGCCCCGCCACGGGGGTCTCATTCACCTCCAGCAGCAGCTCCTCCGACACCAACTTGCTGCCGCTCTCATAGGCCACCTTGCCGGGCTTCACTTCCCCCAGGTAGGGGAACTGTCCATTCTCGGCGCCCCCCTTCAGTTCAAAGCCCAGCTGGCCCTCCGGGTTCCTGCCAATGACACTCTCATGGACTTTGCTAGTCCAGTGGCTTTTCTTTTTCAAGCTTTTGGACATGGCAGTGGGGCGAGTTGCCTCAGCTCCTGAGGGGTTCCTCTGGGGTAGGGGTGGTGGCGGTGAGAGAAAGGATGGAGGAGCCAGGGGGCCAAGAGGTGAGAAGAGCAGACTTTGCCTTCCTCCCCTCTCTGTTCGGTGTTTTCCCTCTTCTTAGGGTGGAGTGTGGACGAGGAAGGGGAAGGATGAAAGGGACGGCTGGGCAGAGGTAGGAGAGCTTGGGTGAGGTTGTGCTGTCCCTTGAATGACACTCAAGGCTGTGGCCCCGCGGCAGAGGAGAGCTGTGGTGATGGTGGTGGTGGCGGCGGCGGCGGCTGCAGCCTGAGCGAGCAGTAGCGGAGCTGGTGAGCGGGTGGGGTGGGGGTGGGGAAGGAGGGTAGGGATGCCGGGGGCCACTCCTGCGCGGTGTGACTGGGAGAGCGCGCACGCCTGGGTGTGTGGTGTTAGCTGATGTCCATGGCAGCTGCAGTGGCAGCGGCGGATCCCTGTGTGTGTACTAGTTGTACAGTATTGGCAGGAGGGGAGGAGGGAGAGCCGAGGCGGAGGGAGCCGACTGAGGGAGGAGGGGCGCGCGCGCGCCGGGTAGGGGGCCGCTTAGCCGCTGTCTCCGCTCCCTCCCTCCGCAGCTTGACCCGGTAGTGAAGGCTGAGAGAGAGGCAGGCTGGGTCCGCCTGGCAGCCTGAGAGGGGAGGCGGGAGCGAGAGAGGAGGGGAGGCAAGGCCCGGCTTGGGGAGGCCGGCAGGCAAAGCTGAAAGCCGATTGCGGACCTTTCTTCAGTCTCCCAGCGGCCGAGCGGTGCGCTAGGCTGCGCCGCTGAGAGGACGCCCTGAAGCCCAGGCGCGGGCTGGGCGGGAGCAAAACAGGCGAAACCTGGATTTGAGCGCGACCCAGTGCCGGCGCTACCGCCTGAGCGCCGCCCGCCTCCTGGCGCGGGATCCTGCCGTGAGAGCTGCCTGCGGGGCCCGCTGTGGAACTGCTGGAGAGGCCTGGGCGCTGGGAGCCGTGGGAGGCAAGCGTAGGAGCTCACAGTTTAGAGGGACTTCGTCTTTTCACTTTTTCGGTCAGACTCGTGGCAGAGTTCTCAAAATTCCCCCTCAGAGAAGCGGAAAGTTAGAGAACTGCAGGCCGGGTACCCTGGCGGGGGAGGGCGAAGCAGCATCCCTTTCCCGGGGACGGGCCCTGCCCGCGTATTGGGCCAGGGCGAGGACTGAGAGCTGGGCGGAGTTGTCGGATGAAAGGCTATTCCTGAATAGCAAGAAGAAGGGGCTTCACGTTTCCTAGTTAGAAGGAGCGGAAAGAAAGGGGCTGCGGGATAGCGGGACGGGGACAGGGGCGGGGGCGGGGGCGGGGGCGGGGGGCGATGCGGGCAGTGAGCAGCTGTCCTAAGGGAAATTGACAGTTTAACCCGGGAGCTGCGGCGGCGCAGGCAGGGGCACGCCTTGGCCCAGGAAAGCCCTCAGACTCGGGCTTGTAGCTTGGGAAGAAACCTTAAGATGACATGACCCGAAAACTTCCTGCTACAGAGAAGGAAAAGAAGGCTCCGAGGGTAAATCTAGCGGCCAAATCGGAGCTGGAACTCAGCTCGCTGGCCCACCACCAGGCTGCTTTCCCCTCACCAAGTTTTCAGCCAGGAAGAGAGGTGAGGACAGGGGCGCAAGGATGCAAGAGAGCTGCTGATTTTCACTCAATCGCGAATTTTCTATGAGATGTTCGGCGAGATTTTAGAAATTCTTGTTAATTGGTAAATGAATTTCACTTGTTCTACTTCCAAATGATATGTTTAAGACAAAAAAAAATGTTGCACACCTACTCATCTCTAAAACAAAGCATGAAAAGCACTGTTCAGTTAGGAATCTTAATGTCTGAGGTGAAGATAGTGTGGGAGGCAAGCGGTACAGGAAGGCCAGATTTGAATGTAGGCTCTGCTACTTACCAAGAGCTTGATCTTAAGCATATTGCTTGACCTTTATAAGTCTCAGTTTCCTTATTTTGTTTAATGGGGTTGGAAGTACTAATCTGATAGGGCTGTGATGAGAATGAAATCAGGTTAATGCATGCAGAGTGCTTGCATGATTTAGGTGGGTAGCACTTAAAATGTTAATTTCCTTCCTTTTCCCCTCTGAAGTATAACTCATTATTTGGGGAAAAGTGGGATTAAATTTAGTCAGAACTGGAAGAGATCTGAAACAAAGATGATTTGTTTAACCGTGTGTCTTTTTTCACTTGAGAAAACAGATCCTTAGTGAGTTGGCTGCAGCTGATGAGAATTATTCACTAAGCCAGGGGCAGTTTCAGGATCTGAAAACAGAGCAGCAGCTAATGCGCAGGAGTGGACAAGACTTTTTCTAGCATAGCCCACCTTCACCCAAAGAAGTTGACTTTTAGCCTTATGAGACACAGTCGTAAGTGGAAATTGATAATGAGAGCTAAATATGTTTTTAAACACTAATTACAGGCTAACATGTATGGCTGATGCTAATATATATCAAGTTCTAACTACATGCTAGATATTGTCCTATAGGTTTTACATATATTAATTCCTCCTGACATCTTAATCAAGTAGGTAGTGCTATCATTCTATTTGAAAGATAAGAAAATTTAGGAACCTGTAAATTTAGTCAATGGCAAAACAAATAGTCATACCCAAGTTTTTGGGCTCCAGACCAGGTCTCAGTCACTGCATTGTTTCTCTCCCTGTGCACTTACAATGTGTCACACCAACAATTAGAACATAGTGTCCCCAAAAGTTTGGTCTGAATTTTATTGTAGAGGTAATTAGGATAAGTGAAAACAAATGGAGCAGGAGTTTGGCACAGAAGCATTTAACCTTAAGAACCCAGGAGAGTCACTGAGATGTATAACAGCTAATTGAATGCTTCTCAGCTCTTAATTCATCTTCTTTGCCCTGAATAGTGTTATGAGAGCTAGAACCTATAAACATATATTTGTTGTTAGTTGGTACAGTATTAGGTCTACTCAGTAGAAGGTGCTAGAGGGACACTACATAAAAAGCGGACTTCTCTTCTTGGTTCCAGTGCTTTTCTTCTTTCTTTTATGGTGTGGTGGTCAGTGTGTGGCTTTTTGGCCAATGGTGTGCCAGAAGCCAGTGTTCACATCTTCCAGTAAGTTTGGCCAGTCCCCTAGTGTGTGGATTCCCAGTAAGCCTTGCTGGTCTCCCAGTGGGTAGCTTCTTAGTAAGTTTCACTGGCACCCCAGCTGGCCAGCTCAGTCTATGACACCTCAACAAATATCTTGACCCTCAAGGGGGCCATAGGCACATTTTCTCCAATGAGGTCTGTCTCTCATTCTAGGATAGAGAATAGGGATGGGAGTGGGGATGCAGTTCTTCTAAGTTATTTCTTCGTTGGATACTATCCTACCACCTTGGAGTTAGTGGCTGCTCCCTAAATTGGCTATTCCTGTATTGGTTTTAGTGATCTCTTCTCTTAGTAGTCACTCACCTTTACTACATAATAATTCTTTATATTAAATTTCTATTATTCCAATTATGGTGTAATTTCTGTTTCCTGACTGGACCTTGACTAATACAAAGCTAAAGAGTAGAAGTTGAGAGTCAGAAGTTGCATCCTGCCTTTAGCTGCGCCACCTTAACTAAGTCACTTAAACTCCCAGGGCTTGTTCCCTGATTCATAAAAAGGGAGTGACAATATATATGACAAGGTTTTGTAAGCATCATGTAAATTTTTTAAATGTTTTATTTCTTTATTTCTTTATTTTAGAGAGAGGGAGAGAAATATTGATGTGAGAGAGAAATACTGATCTGTTGCCTCTCATATGCACCCCAACTGGGGGCTTAATCCACAGCCCAAGCATGTGCTCTGATCAGGAATTGAACCAGCAGAGCCTTTCGCTTTATAGGATGACATACAACTAACTGAACCACGCTGGTCAGAGTCATGTAAAATTTGGAAGTATTTTAAATGTGCTTAAATGTGAATGCACTTTAAAACTGTTAAGTGCTATCACAATTAACAGTGGTAATTATCAGTATAGGAACAAGGAGTAATAAAGAAGGAGACATTTTAAGAAAAAAAAGTTGTATGCATTCTGGATACTTTGATTATTTCCAAGGGGTAAAAACAGCATTTTCACTAAGATTTATCATCATCAAATAAATATATCATTGGTTGGTTGGTTGGTTGGTTGTCTTTGCCTAGCTTTCAGTGATAAAAACAAACAGTTTCTAATATCAGGTAGTTCAAGTTTCCAGCTCTGTGAAAAATACAACTAGAATTACAAACATTTTGAAATGTTAGATGCAGACTAATTCAGTTATTTATCTATTCTGGCATCCTTCACATTTGCATTATTTTTATTTTGTCTCTTTTACGCTTTCTGGGTTTGATGCTATGTCAAGAAAGAATTATTTCATTGCTGAGCACTCTATGTGCAGAGCATGGCACTAGATATTGCATGCTATTCCAAAAGAAAAATACCTTAAGAATCATAAAAGCTCAAGAAAGAAAAGCATGAGTGTATTCCATTTTAACCAAGAGTTCTATGAGGTGGATGCTTGTAGGATACTCCACTTTATCCTCTTAAATCCCTTATATTGGTCTAGGTGCCCTACCCCCAGCTTCTGTGTTCTTTTATTTCTCACAAGCCATCCCCTGAGACTCTATTTGGAAGATCGCCCAAAGGCTCCTAGACTCATTTTGCCTTCAGGTACAGAGAGCCAGATGGAACCACCTGGGAGTTAACTTTCTTCTCATGAACCTTTCCCAAGGACTGACCTACAGAATATAAAAGCCCAGTCCTGTTGCCTCTAGAATACTCAAGTCTTCCTGGCAGCCTCAAGCTAATGCTAGTATTTTGCTGGAAATCCCTTCCTTTCCTATCTTGCTTAATCTGGTAACATATGCATTTTTTTTCCAGAAATATTTCCTAATAAATCACTTATGAGCAATACTCATCTCAGAGTATGTGATTCTGGAGATACTGACCTACAATATTATATTTCCTTTTACAGATGAGGAAACTGA